GCCCAGGCAGGGGGGCTGCAGGGAGCCCAGGAACCTCCCCCCACCCCCGGCACCTGGCTCTCTGCTCTGGGAGGGGGGGAAGTGGGGTCAGGGGCGTCAAAGTAGGGAGCCCTGAGAGCCAGGACACCTGGGTCCTCTCTCAGTCATGTGGGGGGGCTGCAGGGAGCCCTGACGCCTGGGTTCTCCCCCTGATCCAGGAGCGGGGCTGGGGGCCCGGATGCCCGGGTCCTCTCCCTGCTCCGGGAGGGTGCTGGCAGCTCGGACGCTCGGGTCCTCTGCCAACACTGGGGCTGTGGGAGGTGGTGGCACCCAGGCCTTCTCCAGCTCAGGGGGGTTCCAGGGGTCTCTTACCTGGCCCCATCCTGGTCCCTTGTGCTTGCCGGGAGCTGGTCTGGGAGGGGGTCAAGGGGGTTTAGATGCACGTGGCCTGGCCCTGGGGGGAGATCTCCAGGGGGTTAATCATTAACCCTCCCCCAGGGCCTGGCCCAGGGCCAGGAGGAACCAGGGAGCAGGAAGCAGTGACTGGGGAAAGCACCCGCCGGGGCGGGAGGCTGGGGGCCAGTCAGGGATCCCAGGTGTCCTGGCTCTGCCCAAAGCCCTCCCGAGCTGGAGGGAACAGGCATCCAGACACCGCCCCCCCCCCACCGGGAACACAGGACCCCGCAGAGGACCCAGGCATCCAGAGCATGCGCACGCACACAGATGAGCACCCCCGGGGACACACCCATATGCATGCACTACCCTGGTGTCTGGGACAGATGCCCCCCCAGGTGTCCAGGACACATATGCACATGTGCACAGCCCAGGTGATCCGGACACAGACATGCACATTGCTGGGGCCAGCTAGTGGGGGCTGGGGGGGGTCAGTGCGGGGCTGGAGTGGGGCTCTGGGGGCCCGGGTGTGGTGGGGGTGTGCAAAGGGGCATTAACCCCTTCCCATCCGCACCAGGTATCACCCCGCAGCAGGAGGCAGCTCGAAAGGCCGTCACCCTCCCCTGGCCCACGGCACCAGCACCGTGAGTTCGGCTCTGACCCAGGCCCAATCCTGTGGGGGGGAGTTGGGGGGGTTCATGACCTCAGGGGGTGTCTGTCCCCCCTCCCAGGCCAACGCACGGCCCTGCACCTGGTCCCCAGCCACTGCTCCACCAACGGTGAGTGCTGGGCGCTCCTCAGCATGGGGTGGGAGCAGGCGGGGCTGGGAGCCCGGACGCCTGGGTTCTCTGGGAGCGGACGGGGGCTTCAATGGAGGCATGGCAGGGGACGCAGACACCTGGGTTTTCTGTTGTGGTGATTGGGGGCCCAGACACCCGATTCTCCAGGAGGGGATGGGGGTACAGGGACCCGGACACCTGGGTCATCTGGGGGGGCAATAGGGATATGTGAGGGCTGGACGCCTGGGTCCCTGAGGGGGCAGGGACATAGGCCTGGATCCCTGGGTCTTCTTCTCTGGGAGGGGATGGGAGCGTTGGGGTCCCCGGATGCTGGGGCTGAGCACAGTCCCCGCAGCTGAGGGCGACGTGACGGAGCTGTGGTGGGCGCCGGCGCTGGGGCAGGGCCACGGCCTGGAGCTGAGCGGCTCCATCGTCACTGTGCGCCAGGCGGGCCTCTACCTCGTCTACAGTCAGGTAGGGCCCTGCTCCCATGCACACGCCCTCGTGCACACGCCCTCGTGCACGCCCCCCTTCACCATCTCCCCTCTGCCTAGGTGCTGTTCCACGACCCCACGTTCACCATGGGGCAGGTGCTCTGGCGTTTGCCCCCTGGGGGCCAGGGCCCGGGACAGATCCTGCTGCGCTGCGTCCAGAGCATGCCCGGGCAGCGGGAGCAGGCCTACAACAGCTGCTATAGCGGAGGTGGGCGGGGCCTCCAGGAGGGGGTTGGGGCGGGGGCACCTTCATCTGCTCGGGAGGGGTCCGGGACCCGCCCTGAGGCTCCGCCCCCTCTCGCCCCGGAGGTGCTTTCCACCTGCAGCGGGGGGAGGGGCTGCGCCTGGCCGGGCCCCGGGCCAACGCCTCCCTGGACCTCACCCCCCACGGCACCTTCCTGGGCCTGGTGCGGCTCTAGAGGGACCCGGGCGCCCGGGCAGCGCCCCGCAAAAGGGAGCCCAGGCGTCGCCGAGAGAGATGGTGGGACCCAGGCATCCAGAGCCGGCCGCCACCAGCGGGAAGGGACCCAGGCGTCCGGGTGGTGGCACCGAGACGGGGAAGGCCCCAGGTGTCCGGGACGCCGCATGGACACGTGGGGAAAAAGGACCCAGATGCCTGGGGCAGGTGGGCGCAGGAGGCGTTGCGACCACCCGGGCACGCCGGCGAGCACCGATTCCTCCCCGTAGCAACAAGGGCATCACTCCCGAAATTTCCGTGAGGCCTGAGGCTCCTTGTCGGCGTAGCAACGGGGGTGGGCCCGGACGGCTGGGGTCCATCTCGGCTGGGGGGTAACAAAGGGGGTGGGGGGGAGGCGAGAGCCCGGGGTCCCTCAAGCCCTTGGGCTGCGGGTTGCGAGTGAGGGGCACTGGCCTGGCCTGACCGGGCCGAGCCGGGCCTGAGGCTCATTGGCGGGGCGTACGAAAGGTTTAAATGCAGCCAAGCCGCCGAGATCTCGTGAGATTTGGGCCACATTTCGCGGGATTTTCAGGCAGGATGGCCAGGGCAGCACGAAATTTCGCGCGGTATGACTTGGAACCGAAGTCGCGCGAGGCCCTCACCGAAAGACCGCGGAATTTAGCGGCCGCGGCACCTCCCCGGTCGAAATTCTCGCGACACCTTGCAAAAGGAGCGCTCGCGACAGGTCAGGGCCGGTGCAGGGCTCTCGCGAGATGGGTCGTCGAGTTCACGCGGGAGCGGGAGGTTTGAGCTGGAGTTCACGAGTTCTCGCGAGAGTGGGTGTCATGGCGGCTTCCAGCTGCTGAGCAGCGCGTGTCTTTGCGGGAGGCCCGGGCAGGTGATGATGGGACAGTCCCGCCCCCCCCTCCCTGACCGCCCCAGGGCAAACGGACAGCCCACCCCCCGACCTGATCCCCTAGAGCAATGGACAGTCCATCCCCCCAACCTAACCCACCCACCAAGGTCAGTCCAAGTCCCCCCCCACATTGACTTAACAATAGGCTGAGTGCCTGTCTTATGTATTTGCTATTGATACAAACTGTCTGACGTTTGGATTTTTTTTTCAAAAGGGAGGGGACTTATTTCAAAGAAAAATGCTGACTTATCTCCTGTCTGGTATGTTATTTTCTCCTTTAATGTTGGGTCGACAACTCAGGCACACATTCAAGATATGTAGGAGCTACATTTTATTTCCCATGGCTTAAAAATACCTAACATTTTTGGTTACAGAAACAAAGACTGGACCTTAAGAGGACTGATTAAGAGGATGGCAAAGAGAAGATATCTTTATCACATTTGAATCGGTACAACTTGACCAGCATTGTAAGCAAAGAACTCAGTATATGCAAAGGACATACCTGGAACTACTTAAAAACAGAAAGATGGTAACAAGTATATTTCTTCAGAAAAGAAGTGGTACTCAGTTATAAAGGATGTTTCTTTAAAAGACTATATTTTTTAAGTTCAGTCATCAGAATTTCTTCTTTGTTTTCCTTCCCTAGATTAAAGACAGAATGTTTTTTCAAGTAAAAATAGAAAAGCACTGCTCGGTTGAATAGTCTGGTTTTAGTCAGATACAGCACCAAAAAATGATCCAAGTCTGGATCCCATGTTCTTTCCTTGAAATGGGAAGTGAAAAGAAGTGACAGATGTGGAAACCTCCCTTCCCCCCCTCCCCGAAAAGTGCTGTATTTCAGCTCAGCGCACTCCTGCAGCAAACACAGCATGTACCCAGAAAAATCGTGTCAGTTTGACTTGGCTCACCCAACATCTGTATAGCTCATGCACTTCAGTGGGGCTTTTTGGTGCTTTTATCTAATAGTTGATTGATATAATAGCTGATTGAATCAGCTATTAGATAAAAGCACCAAAAAGCCCAGCTGAAGCGCACAAGCTATATAGATGCTGGGTGTGCGGGGTCAAACTGATGTGATTCCTATTCTGGTAAAGCACTGTTTTTTTCCCCCCACATTTGTCAGTGCCCCTTAAAATTATATGCTCACACCAAATTGCTCACACTCTCCACTGACCCTGCTCTTAATGGCTAAAGAATGATTTTTAGAGAGTGGAGGCCAATCCCTTGCTGGAAGTCACATTTTGAAATCAACCTTACTGAAGATCTTTGTGACTCATACAGAGCTCCTAGGCTTTGTATTGCTTCAAAAGAGAGAAACAGTGGCTCAGCTAATTCTTCCAATTAGTCCCCCCCATCTACTTTGTCTCTTCTATCTTGACTGGAGTCCAATTCAAAGTTAACTGGAGTACTTCCCATCTAGGAGCTGGCATATTGACACCCTTATGTTTGTAGGAGAATCAAATATACAGTTATGTAGAGACAATAAGTCCCATTAGTTCTCCATGAGAAGGGAGATTGAATGCATCTTGATGAAACTCATAAAGGAGGATTTGGGGAAGAGATCAGAAACCAGTCAATCCTCTCTACATCCTGCCTGGAGAAGACTAAGGAAATTATCATTATCACCTAGGTCTACCTACGTCATCAGTGTCATCCAAACAGACAGTGCTAAAGGCTCATCCTGTCATCTGTAAAATGGGTACAACTGCCAAAAAGAAGCCAAAGATTATTATGTATTAGAATAGTACAAATTACAAAAGTAACCTGTTTCTAAAACTTTGTTCCCTTTGATTCTACCAACACAGCAGGTTGCTCTGAGGTTTAAACAGTGACATTATCTACAACTTGGTGTTTTGAACATTTATATAGGGAAAACTCTGAACCCAGTTACCCCACATAACCCCAAAATAACTCATCTGAAATCAGTGAAATTGTTCCAGATGTACACCACTGTATATGAAATCAGTATAGGCCCATTCTACTTTCTAGTTTTTGAACAACACCTTCATCTGCTACTAGGCAGTGCTAATGAAGTGGCACCTTGCAGTGTGCAGATGGGTTTCTCCCACATTTTCTCACTGACAGATTTTAATGAAATATTTGAGCTTAAGTCACAATGAAAGATGAGAAAAAATCCTTTACATACATGACCATTAATCAAAGACAAACTAGTGACTTACTCCTTCAAATTCCAGTAAATGCCATATTGCTTGTCTGATTTTTTCCACTCATGTTTCTGCTCCAGTCATATCCATATTATCATTCTCTTAAGATCTTACCTTATGGATATTTATAACAATTATCATCTGTTATCAAAATGGCGCAAGAAGTCTAGAAAAATGATTATGTCAGTAACTAACATATAAGTTGCAAGAGGCAAGGATTTTTATGGGTGCTATCTTTTATTTGACCAACTGCATAGTTGGGAGGGATATAGACAAGCTTTCAGGTACTGATTACAAAGTATTAAAGCTTGTCTATATATTGCTTCCAGCTATATAGAAGTCCAATAAAAGGCATCACTCACAAAAATCTTTCCCTGTCACATTTTTCCTGGACCATCACAACTACAATCTCACCCCAACACTACCATAAAGGCCAGTTGAAATTTAATTATGGTAAATTTCCATGACAGATATTTGGATATCTTGATCTGGTCTCCAAATGGTCATTGAGACTGGTTGCTGAGTTCTTATTTAATATTACTTGATTTAAAATTAAGGCTTAAATTAAGAAATGGAAGAATAGGGACATTCTGCTGGGGAAAATAAGGAGGATCAATATTTCTTAGCATAACAGTAAGGAACAGGAAGTAACTGTGAAATTCTTACAGGTGTGATTCTCATCAAAGTAGCACCAATAAGACTGTGCAATGCTTAGCTAAAATTCATGACTTGCAACTTGTCACAAAGTTGGCTCTAATGAGACTACTCATCTATATTAATTTAAACACATGAGTATTGCAGAGTCTAGGTATTTCCTGGTATAACTAACCAGGGAGAAAGGACAGAGATGAGATGATACACTGCCACACATCTCTCAATCGCAAACCAACAGTAAAGACAAATAGTATGTCACTTAAACCTAAGGGATCTGTTCCATGTCTCTGATGGATTTGCTTTTCCTGCAACTCCCAGGCAGGTTGCCATGGCTGAATAGAAGTAAACTATAAATCTCATCAATGATTGTAAAATTTTAGCCTTTTCAGTATGAATTGAAATTTAAGAAAGTATTATGTCAGCAACTAAATACTGGTAAGTCATTGACTCAGATTAAATAAATACCAAAGAAAATACAACATTAAAATGCCCCCCTCTTTCAGAATCTGGTGAATACAAAGGGAGCAGAAAGTCATTTTTGCTCTTCACCTCTAGTTCTGCCAGACACAGTTTTAGCCTGGCATGATGAGGCACCTGGCCCAAAGTATCTGAAATCCATAGATGGGAAAGAAAACGTACTTTTAATACAGGCTCCAACAAGTTTTTGGTTCCTCCAAACAATGTTCCCTCTAAGTTGTACTGATCCGTGAGCATGCCGATTCAGTCCGTCCCCGAATTGGTCCCACTTCCCACCTCCTTTCAGTGCGCGCTGCTTTAGTCCGCCCCACAGTATAACATTGTAAACTTTGAGGATTTAACTTAGAAGATGCAGTAAGGGCCCTTTACTAAGGGGATGGGTCTATGTGTAATGAATATAAAGATGATCCTTTACAGAGGCTGCGGGGAAGATATTGGCCTTCCTAGAATGATAGAAAAAGCAACACCACATGGTGCATGGTAGAAGCATGACCACTTTAACCAAGCTAGTGCCCAAACTGGATGCAATTTAGCCAAGTTGGTGTGTTTCTCTGTACATGCCCATAAACTGCAGGGAGACCAAGCACAGTGTTGTGCAACCAAAACAGCACTAAAGCAGGTAACTAACTGACACATTGTATCCCAGCATGACAGTAGCCTGCTGCCAGGTTACACTGTAAACTCCTACTTAACTTGCTATCTATCCACTCTTACCCCTAAGTCTCCTTGTGGATTGTTGCTTTCCAAGTTTCTTCTGTTCATTGAATAGCTAGGTTTTGCCTTCAGCTGCTGCTTGGCCTCTCTTCTCTCATTACAAGGAAGCAGTGGCTCGAAAACAGAGTCAGACTGTATACTGAATACTTTATTAAGAAGCTATTGTGTTATAGAATATTCCTTAGTAGGAATTTGCACGTACTTCTCATATGAATATGCCCACAGTAAAGGACTCCACTTTATGCAGGAGCTTTCCCAAAGGGGCTGGAGAGCAGAGCAGTTCCCCGGAGCCGGCGAAGCCCATGCAGTGCCAAGTCTGCCCTATCTCCCGCCCCTGCCTCCTCTCGGGAAGGAGCCACTGTCTACCCCGAGTGAGGAGTGGAGCAGAGGAGCGAGGAGCTTACTGCTGGCAAGTGTCCTGCGTCAGCCCCAGTGCCTCTGCCATGCTCCCCACCCAAAGTTTACAGGAAGCTGCAACCCAGCTCCTCTCCAGGCGGGCGCATGGCATTAAAAAGTTTCTGCACGGCAAGACTTTTTATAGTGTATGGCCACACACATGCACAGTTTAGGGAGTACCTTGCCCCCAAATGTTAAAAGATACAAAGGTCCCCATTTCTCCTGTTGAAAACAATCTAACAGCATCCCAAATAATAACAAAAAATGAACATAGGCCCAAGATTCAACCATTGGCAAATAGCAGCTGGCTAAAGTAAAAGGGATATTCCACAAGGGTTGTGCTAAGTCTGTTGGCAAATGGCATCTGAGTCACCATGTGCAGTTTGACTGATCTCTGAGTACAGAGCTAGTTGCTATTCCTCTCATTAAGGGGGAGAAACCACTCTTTTTTTACATTTCCAATAAGTAATCTGTGGTCAATGGTGCAGAACAGTTAGCCAGCTTCTAAGATCTAAAGGAATGAAGCCCCATCCATGAAAAATGAGTCATCACAGACTAGGAAGAAATTACCTGACAAAGAGGAAATGGGACACAGACAAAGCTCCAGCTGACTTCATTTCCATGAGAGGTGGTATCCTATGTTTTGTAATGCATGCTGTTTAAAAAAAAAACAAAAAAAACCCCCAAAACAGATTCCCAGAAGAACTGAGAAATGATTTTGCAGGCTCAGTTCCCAAACTAATATTGACATAAGTAATAATAAAGAGAAAGATGGTTAGTCATGAAGGGAATGATCCAAAACATCCACAGTAAAAAATTAAAAATGTTATTTTTTTTTACTAAATGTATAACCATGAAAAGGATGTTTGCAAGGTTTGCTTTTTCTTTTCTCTTGTGAAAATGTTGAGCCAAAATATTGCTTCCTCAAAAAGGAAAAAGGGACAAAGTTACCAGTAGCAAAGAAGGAAAGTGAGAATGGAGTGGGAAAGAAGATGATGGAAAGAAGATGATGAAAGAAAGCATTTTTCATTTTGAACACTGAATAATTCCAGACAGTGCAGATATTCAATACTATATAGCTGCATTTTTGGTTAGATTTCAAGAAAATCTACATTTTTCAAAAGTATTCACAAACATAGCCATTTGTCAGATGGCTGTCCTGACTACCTGCTGGCTGCTCAAGGCTGTCAGCAGAAGCCATTTTGAATGTGCGACCATAAAGATGAAACTTTCTGTGAATTATTAAAAACCAAACACAACACTGTACTGGTTTTCTATGTTCTCCATTTGAAATATGCATTAGTATTCAATTATTATATTTTAGTGTATTAGTGTTCAAGTATGTATATGAATTCCCTGCTTTATTGTGCACCAAGTCCTGTTGCTGGCCACTGACCTGCAGTCTTGTTCTCTTGCCTCTTTGCCTCTTATGAGATGGAGGTCTGGTCACTAGTTTGTTTAATGCCTTATTAACCTGAAGGACTTGACTGGAGTTCATTGCCTTAGCTTAATCCCTCTGATTTTCACCTCCTTTTTTGGAGGGGGAAGGGAGGTATAATATGCAGTTCCCTGTGTGAAATACACGTCTGATTCAGTAATGCTTACGTTAACAACAGTGGGATCCTGCTTGTAGACAATGCTGAGGATGTAATGCTGTTGCAGCTCCAGATATTTTGTGGCTGTAATTGTGCATATACTTTCTGGCTAAACTCTCCCTGCTGCTTTGATCCTGCTGTTACTATTGTGTGCGGTGGACTCATGCTGTTGTATCCTGCCTCCCTACCCAGCCTAAATTCCACTGACCCTTTTGTTTAATGCCAAGCTAACAAAAATGCTGGCATCTGATTTACGGGAGTTCATTTGGGAAGTGTGTGGGAAAGGCAGCTCACCTCCATCACAGCGAGAGCCGGAGAAATATTGCAAAACAATTTCAACTAGAATTCTTTTATATTTAAAAGTGATTTTGCTTCAGGTATGCAGACCCCCCCCCAACCGTTGCATTCATTTTCAGTTAATGTTTGTGATTGATGAGGGTTTGTTTGGTTTTAGTTTTTGCAAGAATGTCCAAGGGAAGCAAATGTAAAACTCTCATACAGCAAGATGCCAAGTGGAAGTAGCATGGTGTACCAATCTATTATTTATATTACTAGCCCCTTGACCCCCCAACTGATATCAAAATTACATTGTTCCAGGGACTCTACAAATGCTTTATAAGAGACTGCCTCAAAGAATTTATAATATACAACAGTAGTCACCAACCAGTGGATCTCGATCCACTAGTAGATCTTGGAGCCTCTTGGCATCAATCTGGGACTAGGGTGGGTGGCTGAGTGCCTGCGTGCATGCACGTGCACACCCCAGCCCAGAAGGTCAGTCCATGGGGGAGGGAAGGGATGAGGGCCAGATCGAGGCCCCTGTGGTGAGGGACAGCTGCAGAGGCAGAAGCAGGGGTAAGTTGAGTGAGGTCCCAGCCGGGTGGGACTTATTTGCTGTGGAGATGCGCCCTCAAATAATTTTTTCTCCCTCAGCCTTGATCTACCCCCTCCCTTCACTTCCCACAGACTTACCTGCTGGGAGGGGTAGGGGGGCGGATGTGGCACTGGCATACAGTAGATGTCAGGTTGCTTTTAAATACCAAAAGGTGATCTACTTAAAAAGGTTGGAGACCACTGATATACAGCCATCTGAAATGGGATACAACATCATATAGGCAGGGGTAGGATTGGCCAACCTAACCAGCAGTAAAAATACTCACCAGCAGTAAATTTGCAAAGAACTAATCTTTGCCTTTGCATTGGTATCTGTGAGTTCACATACAGCTTGCACTCTGTATCAGTGGTGGTTTGGAGGGGACATTAAATTAGATGTCATAGATGGAAGACATTTTATCAGACAGAACACTACAGAGACAACAAATCTGGAACAAAATTGTTCCGCCTCTGAAAACTGGACCCTGCATATTACAGTGATTACAATGGGCGAGTGAAACAAGAGAAGATCAAATTTAAACTCTCCACCCTGACAATAAACCTTACTGTTATTTTTTATCTCAGAAGATTCCTTGTATCAACTTGTGTGCCACTGACAAGAAAAGGTTTGGTATTTTCTAAAATTGCTTCGTCATCAGGGGCATAGATAAGTTTTCTTAGGTGTGGGTAAGATCTTGAGGAGGTCACCTCCTCTATGTGTGTGGTGCACTATGGTACAGGGGATATGCTTTGCGGACAGGGGGAAGGAGAGGCAAGCAAATGGCAGCCAGGGCAATCACCCCACCTGCCCTGCTATATCTATGACCGTGCTAACCTATGACCATGCCACCTCTCTACTCTGGTAAATTCCCCTGACATTTTCTCAAGCCATTTTCTTGGTTGTGAAATACATGCTTATACAGACAGAAGATGAAGGGGAGTGGAGGAAGCTTGAGTCAAATGGCCCTCATGACAAATCATCTTATATACAATTAAGCTTCAAATACCATGTTGAGTTTTGAAGTAGAAGTTGAGTAACACATAGGCTGTGTGAAGCTCCTTAGAGGAGGGTAAAATTTCACTCTCAGTGAACTAAAATAACACATGCAACAGCTAACAGATATTCCCTACAATACCACTCTGTTTACTAGGACAATTAAAAGTATAGGATGAAGATTTATCAGTCTGACACTTTCCAGGTCCTCAAGTAATAGGATAACAGGCAAATTATGATCTCCAGTGAATTCAGGTGAGACCTTTAAATTGCAAAGTCAAATCATTGCTTATGTCTAAAAAATCCAAACCCAGGAACCTAACATTAGTCCACATCGAACCACCTAAAAATGAAAATTTTCCAAAGCACCTCATGCAACTGAGAAGCAAGATCCCCACCATTGAAAACTGAACTTCTGCTCCTAAATTACTTGGGTGTTTTTTAGCCCATGTAGAGTGTTAGGCTGCTACTTCTGAAAATGCTGGGCGCTATTAATTCAATACAGACTGACAGAGCCTTCAACAAGATAGACAACATTTTCCAACTTTTTCACCTTTCTTCTCTGTGACTTCTACCCATGAAAGACAGACCCACAAACATAAGGCAACTGAAAATTCCTGACTTGTGCAAGTATCAGAAATTTTATATGCATACTACAGGTGAAACAAAAAGGTAAGTTCTTCAGTAAGTAAGTAAGTTCTTTCCCAACAATGTGGGAAATAAACTTTCAGTTGGGCTAGTACAGAGATGCGACAAAACTCATACCAGCTCTCTGATCTGGCTGTCAGAGGACTTCCCTTACTGGAACACTAAAAACAGCCAACTCTAGTTGAACAGTATTGTGAGCTTAATAAACTCAAAAAGCCAGGGAGGTCCATAATATCAGTAACAAACAGTAGGCACTGCCCCATGTCTGAGATAACATTATATTTAATTTCTAGTTAAGGACCTATATTATCACACAGAGATTTTTCTCAGTGTTTTTAGTCTGCAGCACAAATAGATTGCAGAAATTTTAGTAGACGACTGCAGTGATTCAGGGCCTTAATCAAACCAAACCTAATTTGTGGCCAATCTGTGGTTTATCCTTGCTAATGAGAATAAAAAAAAGCTTCAGGAATATCTGCAATGTCACAAATTAACTCATATGTCAAAGGAAAATTTAACTACCTTTTCCAATTAAATATTTTGGTCCAAAATAACCTGTTCTCACAACTTGAAGTGAAAAGGAGCTTTCACACAGATTTGATTTGCAGTGTTACTCGTCTTGATCTTGACAATTCTCCAGCAGTTGAGGGTGGAGGAGGGGAAGTGAAGTAAGGACTCTCTTCGGCAGAGAAATTGAAATGCATAGAATGCAATTTGTAAATGCATAGAAGACAGGGTTTTTCTAATGATTTTTTATGCTGATATGTTTCAATTTACTAGAATAAATCAGGAGAGAAAGGGAGAAACTACTCCAGGTTACAGAATAAACAGATGGTAAGCAGAAGCCTAACCACTTTGCCTCTGAGCTGGAGCCAGGCTGATTGCTGAAACCATTAGAGTAGCAGCCCTGGCAGCAGGCAGCTCTTCAGCCTCCAGGCCACCATAAAACAGGAGCTCCTTTTTTCCACAAGAAGAAAAGGCCAGTGTGTCTGAAGCAAGCACTTTACCACATGGTCCTTTTGGTGGAGAGAGAAGGGCTGATACTATATCTCAGAAAAGTGAAATAAACTGCTTTTTTAAATATGAATCTTTTCTTTCCCCATTTGTTACCCCCCCCCCCCACACACACACACACACACAGAGGGAAAGGAAAGGGGGTTTGGGGCGGGGTGGGCCCAGCGCTGGGGTCAGAGGGAGGCTCTGACCTGCAGGGGGCAGCTCCCCAAAATCCCCCCCATCATCCCAGGGAGGAAGCTGGGAGACAGAGAAGGAGAAACTGAGGTAGGCACATGCATCCCTCGCAGGGCTCCAGACGGCTCCTGCCTGCTGAGCAACAGTGCCGACAACACCCTGCGCATCTATGACCTGCCGCCCGAGCTGTACAGCCCCACAGGGGGGCCTGCTGCTGAGATGGTGGGGCCTGGGAGGGGGGGAACCCAGGCGCCCCTCCCTCCTCCAGCCTCTTCATTGCCCTCCCTGGAGGGGCACGGGGAACCCAGGCATCTGGGAGCCTGCTCTCTTCACAGGGAACCCAGGTGTCTGGGCTCCCAGCCCCCACTCCCCTCTCAGAGCCAGAGAGAACCCAGGTGTCTGAGCCGCCCCCTTCCTCCCCAGAGCCCAGCGCTGTGCATGGCCGAGGGCGACACCATCTATGACTACTGCTGGTTCCCGCTGATGAGCTCGGCTGAGCCGTCCACCTGCCTGTGAGTTGTCCTGCCCTGCCCAGGGCCGGATCCTGCCTAGCCAGGGCACTGGGCCTGGCTTTCCCCTTCTTGCACCCCCCATCCTTGAGCCTGGTTACATTTGGCTGCTCTGCCCAGAGCTGGCTGCATCTTGGGGGTTTAGGCTCTTCCCCCAGGGGTGGGGCAGCAACTGGCTCTGCCTCCCCCTCATGTCTGCTCCACCCCCCAGCGTGGCCAGCAGCAGCCGGGACAACCCGATCCACGTGTGGGATGCTTTCAGTGGGGAGCTGCGGGCCACGTACCGCTGCTACAACCACCTGGTGAGTGTTTGCGTACCCGGGTGTCTAGGCTCCCAGCTCCCTACACCTTATCCCCCCCACCAGATCTCACTTTCCCCCAGAGCTGCAGGGAACAGAGGTGTCCAGGCTGCCTCTACCCCCACCTCCACCCCCTGGCGTGGCCCTGGGGTGAGAATCCAGGCATCCAGGCCCTGCCCCACCCCTTCTTCCACTCCTCCATCCCCTGGCAGTGCTGGGGGGAGACCCCAGGTGTCCTGATGCACCCCCTCCCCCCAGGACGAGCTGACGGCTGCCCATTCGCTCTGCTTCACCCCGGATGGGGCCCAGCTCTTCTGCGGCTCTGACAAGACTGTGAGGGTCTTCGACACTGAGCGCCCAGGCCGGACCTGCGAGGTGCGGCCCACCTTCGGTGAGACATCCCCCTCCCCCGCCACCAGGGTGAGGGGGGTCTCTGGGACGCCTGGGTTTCATGCCCACTGAGAGAGCTGGAGTCAGATAGCCTCTTGGTTTGGCTTTTTCTCCCATCATTAGGTTTTGGAGTGAATGCAGTAGTGACACTTAACAGGGGTGGAAGTGTAGAGAAGAGCAGTTGGTCTGGGGGTGTATCAGGCTTAACGGTGGTCTCTTCCCCCCCCTTCCCCCCCCATTTAGCAAACAAACAGGTTGTGGGTTGGCATGAGTAGGCTCCAGGGTGAATGGCATGTTATTCCCACCCCCATGCAGCAAAGAAGCAGGGTGTGGGCTGCCATCAGTAGACTCCAGAGTGAACATCGTCAGTAGGCTTCAGGGTTAACGGTGGCTCATTTCCTCCCTGAGCAGTGAAGCGGCAGGGCCAGAGCGGCATCGTGTCGTGCATCGCCTTCAGCCCAGTGCAGCCTGTCTATGCGGCCGCCTCGTACGCGCGCACAGCGGCGCTCTACGCCCGGGCCGACGGTGCCCCCCTGGCGCTGCTGCACGGCCACTGTGGCGGCATCACCCATCTGCTCTTTGCGCCCGATGGCCAGCGCCTCTTCACTGGCGCCCGCAAGGTGGGCAGGGCTGGGACCTTGGGGGTGGCTTCTCTGGGTGGGGCTAGAGCTGTGTGGGTGGGGTCTGAGGGTGCAGCTAGGACTGGGGGGCAGGGTTTGGATGGGGGCCTTG